CTAAGCTAGGCTGGGCTAGGCTAAGCTAAGCTAAGCTAGGCTAGGCTAGGCTAAGCTAAGCTAAGATAAACTAAGTTAAGCTAGGCTAAGCTAAGATGAGATAAGCAACGCTAAGCTAAGGGGACGTAACTGGGGGAACCGCGGGGCGGATACCGGGGGAACCGCCCGGGCCGGTTCCCACTGCCCGGCCCCTTCAAGCAAAGAGAGTAAGAACCCTTCTAGGCAGAGCCTAGGTAGGGAATCAACAGATGAAAAAACAACCCTCCCACCGTGCACACTTCTCCTCGCCAGCCTCCTCCTCCTCCTCCTCCTTCCTCCTCCTCCCCCATCAAGTCTTCCTCCCACCCCCCCTCTCCCTCTGGACCCCCTCAGCACTCAATGTTGCTGAGACCACTTCTCCCTCGAGCAGCCAGGGCCGAGGAGTTTTGATGTATTCGATGCGCGTCAACCTGCAGCAGTGGCGTAGCAGCAAAGGGTAGGGGACAGCAACGAGCTAAGGGAGGAATGGGGGAGCGAAGGAGCGACGGGGAAGGAGGCGCAGCAACAAGAACAGCAGCAGGAGCACTGCAGCAGCAGGAAGAGCAGCATGACACATCATTCCGTGGGGCCCCAAGGTATACACACCACCACCTCCCTCATCCCCCTCCTCTCCCAGGAGAGAGGAGAGGCAGATGAGGGCGGAGGAGGGAGGAGGAATCGACGTGGTGGTGTATATTCTTGGGGGCCGCACATTCGGCCCGGTGCACGAGCAGCCTTGCTTCTGCTGGCCTGCGGGCTCTTGCCACGGATGGCCGTTGGAAGCGGTCGGGGGGGTCTGTGCTGGATGGGCCCGGGTAAAATCGGCCAAGATGAGCATCGTTTAACCGATCCCCATCCCCAGCGCCCAGCGGCGTGGCATGGGCCCCACTGGCCGACTTACCCCCCTAGGTGGGGATATGGGCCGTTCCCTTCGGGCTTCGAAGGGTGCCTCCCCAACTGGGGCAGTAATTTAGTGGGGGCCTCGAAGGGGATGAGGATGGGGATGGGGGTCGGTTAAACGATACTGACAAGAGGGGGGACGACGGCAAAGCAGCTCAGAATGAGCAGCCGACCAGATTGTCTGACCGCGTCGAGCCCTGGCGCCAAAGGGCCCTCTTTCTCCGCCCCGATCGGCTGGCTCAGCCGGCTCCAAATGGTGACGCAGACATGCGACGTCCTGATAGTGAGCAGGGACAGACCGTCCCGGCATTCCTGTAGGCCTACCACGACATGTTCTTAGAACCCAAACTGTTCGAAGAACAATAACAATGCTCCTATAACATAAGCCCGATGTGTGAAAACAAGACAGCCCCGGCCAGAAATGTTCTGAGAACATTTCGTGGAGACCACAAAGGTTCTTAGAACATGTTTTGGTGTACGCCTACAGGCGAGCCAGGACGCTTCGACACTGCTTGATGACTTTTGTCCGTACAAGGGCCCCTCGAAGTATCGAAGTCCCGACCCTTTCCCCCGGACCGGTTCTTCACCCTGGGCCGCTTTTTGACGGCCCCGAGGCCCGGCGAGGGCCCCCCGAGGCCGAACACGGCCCAAAACCTCCCGCCCTGGCTTTTTCGGGAGCGGCCAAGAGGGGGGTGTCCAAGAGGGGGGGGGTGCAAATCATGACCGGCGGCATGTGCGCGGCCCAGCGGGGGGGCCAGGGACGTAATGAAATAAGAAGAGGCGCCACGAGATCTGGGGAAACATCATGGCCCCCGCCACGATATCCACCCCGCCCTAGTCATCACCCCCCGGAGAGCCCAGAATCGAATCGATAAATCGGATCGGCAATCGACATGAATCGGATCGGCGGAAATCGGCAGCCGAATCGGGAAAAGTCGAATCGGCGGAAATCGGAAGGCTAGCATGCCTCCAACAAGCAATCGGACCCCAACTCGGAAAATCCGAAATCGAATCGACTCGGAAGCAGTCGAATCGAATCGAATCGGAGAAAGCGAAACGAGCCCTGCACCCCCCTCCTCCTCCTCCTCCTCCTCCTCCTCCTCCTCCTCCTCCTCCTCCTCCTCCTCCTCCTCCTCTTCTCCGCCCCCGACTTCTGCCTCGCGGCGCGACCGCGCCCCGGGGGAGGGCCCCGCCGAGCGGCCGGGGGGCGGCCGGCGGAGCGCCGCTCCCCGCGGCCCCCGCCGCGGCGGCCCCCCAAAAAAAGCGGCTCGGGTGGGGCCGCAGGGCCTGCGTGCGGCCACGGGGGCGCGGGGGTGTAAGGTTAGTAGGGAGCTGGGCGAGGGCTGCTAAAACCGTGGCTGCTAAAACGGCCCTCCCGGAATGAAAAAACAACTTCCCGGAATGAGGCGTGGCACGCGAAGCAGTCAACGGACTTCTTCCCGGAAGGACGAAGACAACTTCCTGGAGGTCGATTTTAGCAGCCACGGATTTAGCAGCCCTTGCCCGGCTCCCGAGTTAGGTCGGGCATGTCCCCCTGCAGGCGGATGTTGGGCGAGGAATCGGAAACAGTCCAAAATCATGCCCCCAAGACAGCCAACACACAGTCGAAACATCGTCCCCAGGCTGGCGTTTGGCCATGTCTGAATCTTCCTCCTGCAGAGGGACAGGCCCAACTTCAGGGTAAGGGGCCTGGCTCGGCGCCCCGCCCCCGCCGTGCCCTGATAGGGGTCGAAGGATCGCGCTGCATCGCCGATACATCGACGACGCATCGGCGATGCGCCGTCGATGCATCGGCGACGTCGGCGACGCATCGGCGACGTCGACGTGGCGAAGCTCGGGCTCCGCATCGGCGCCGCATCGGCGACGCATCGGCGATGCGGCGCGATCCTCCGACCCCGTCTGTGCGGACCCAATCTAGGAGGAGGGGGAGGGGGAGGAGGAGGAGAGGAGGAGGAGGAGGAGGAGGAGAGGAAGAGGAGGCCTAGATCCTCCCTCCCGCTGCCCCGCGCTGCTGTCATCGCGATACCGCAACTCCACAGACACGGGCGCGCCGTAAAACAAAAAAACAGGGCGGGGGGTCTTTGGGGCCGCCTCTGGGCCTCGGAGGGTGCCCCCGCTGGGCCTCGGGGGCGTCAACAACAAAAGCGGCTCGGGATGAGAAGCCGGCCCTGGGGAAAGGGTCGGGACTTCCGTTTGCGGGCGAAGAAAGGCATACAATAAACTCTTTGGTCGCCAGGGGCGCCTGGTCAGGACGTCGCATGTCTGGGGCGTGGAGCGCTGGATGAGGCACGAAAGGGGGCTTTGCCCAGGCCGCGGCGAGCAACGGCCATGGACGGGCCCCAGCAGGACCCAGGTAATTATGAGGAGGAGGAGGAGGAGGAGGAGGAGGGGGAGGAGGAGGAGGCGGAGGAGGAGGAGGAGGAGGAGAGGAGGAGGAGGAGGGGGAGGAGGAGGAGGAGGAGGAGGAGGGAGAGGAGGAGAGGAGAAGGAGGAGGAGGAGGAGGGAGGAGGAGGAGGGGGGGGAGGAGGAGAAGGAGGAGGATGAGGAGGACTCTGCCTCCTCCTCCGGGACTGGGCGCAACGGCCACGAGCGGGCCCCAGCAGGACCCAGATAATGGAGGAGGAGGAGGGGAGGAGGAGGAGGAGGAGGAGGAGGAGAGGAGGAGGAGGCGGGGGAGAGAGAACGGGAAGGAGGCAGGAGGAGGAGGAGGGGAGGAGTTAGGAGGGGGAGGAGGGGGAAGAGCAGCAGGAGGGGGGAAGGAGGAGGAGGAGGAGGAGAAGGGCCCGAGAGCCAGCGCACCGCCTCAGGCCCACGTGGTCCCGACTCCAGCGGCGTCCTGACGGATCACGGAGGACGGAGACGGGCACCGCGGGGGGAAGACGGCTTCAGGAGGTGAATGCTTCATTGTGGGTCTCCTCCTCCTCCTCCTCCTCCCCTCCTCCTCCTCCTCCTCCTCCCTCCTCTCCTCCTTGTCCTTGTCCTCCTCTCCCTCCTCCCCTCCTCCTTTCCTTGTCCCTGCCTTGTGCCTCCTGTCCTTGTCCTTGTCCTTGTCCTCCTCCTCCTCCTCCTCCTCCTCCTCCTCCTCCTCCTCCCCCTCCTCCCTGGGTTTCTTCGCTCCGCGCGCTGCGGGGGAGAGCAAAGAAACGTTCACCTTTCGTGCCCCTCTTTGGGCCCCAGTGGGCTCCTATAGAGCGGGCCCCTGAGGTGCACCCCCTCGTTTATCGCCCCCCATGAGGCAACGCCCGCCGTCTCCGGGCCCCCATGGGGCGCGTGCGCGGGGCCTCGGGGCCGCCGCACAGCGGCTCTGGAGGGGGGGCTGGGCCGCGGAGAGGGCCCCTGGGGGCTCAGGACTCGGGTGCGCATCGTAGACGGGTGCACGTGCGCGGACGACCCTCGACCCGCACCCTCCGCACGTTCTGCGCAGACGGTGCCGCCGCGATGCGGCCGCAGCGGCCGCCGCTGCGGCCTCGGCGGTGGCCGCCGCTGCGGCCGCGGCGGGGCGCGGCAGCGCGGCGCAAATGTGGCGCGGAAGGTGTAGAAGGTGCAGGAGGAATGAAGGGGGGGGAGGAGCAGGAGGAGGAGGAGGAGGAGGAGGAGGAGGAGGAGGAGCAGGAGGAGGAGGGGGAGGGGGAGGAGGAGGAGAAAAAGAAAAAGGAGGAGGAGGAGGACCTGTTGAAAGAAGGAGGGGCACGACACCTGGGAGACATCCTGACCACGGCCATGCTGTCCACGCTTGTCCTCGAGTGTCCCACGCTTGCCCTCGAGTGTCCTCGACGACGACGGCGGCGGCGGCGGCGGCGGCGGCGACGACGACGACGACGACGACGACGACGACGACGACGACGACGACTACGACGACGACGACGACGACGACCCTGGGCGCCCCCGACAGGGCCCGCGCCCCCTCGGCGGGGCCCCTCTCCCGCGTGACGGCGCTGCCCCCCCCCCCACCCCCCTCGGAGCCTCAAGATCCGCCCTCTGATGAGGTCGGCTGGCAGGCGGCCCAGCGAATGCCTGGCAAGGGGCTGTGAGGAGTGCAGCGCTGCAGTGCGTGTGCAGTGCGAGCAGAGCGATGTGCCTCCGTCCGTATGCGTCCTTGGCTCAGGGTGTCAAGAGGGGAATCCCTCGACTGAAGCACGCTCAACCGGGCCAGGTGCATCCAAAACACATCGAGAGAGTTTGATATCGTACAGTGGAGTCTTTGATTGACGAATGGGGGGGGGAAGACGAGACAAGACCAGGCAAGACCGCGACGCGAGTCGGAACCGGTGGATTGCGCCCGAGGCAGCAGCTCAGCCCTCTGCTGAGCACTGGGCCAGAGGCCACGGGAGCCTCGCCCTGAGGGGCTCCCTCCTCGGCCTACCGAGGGGTTTGCAGATGCCAGCGAGGTCGCGGCATGGCTGTGAGGAACAGCACGCACGCCGAGGACGCCCGAGACCGTTGTTCCGTCTATTTGTTTCGGGCTGTGGCCGACGAATCATCAACAAGGTATGAGCTGTCTGTTGGTGGCGTGTCTGCGCTGGAATCGAGAGGCCGTGGGTCTTCGGACACACCAGCGTCACGACCACGAATCACCCACCTGCTTGTGTCGTGCTGGTTGTCTTGTCGCCCGTGCCGCCACTTGCCAACAGCACGACATGGGCGCCAAGGCCGCCGTGCCTGTAGAAATTCCGTCCTCCTGACAAGGATCTGCCTACACGTGTCCAGAGAACGTTGAATGTCGGAACGTACGGAATGGGGAAACAGCCAGTACCCTAGCATTCTTACTGCGCGCTATACTACGAACTTGCCTGCACGGAATCGACCAATTATTGGGACCACTTCAGGAACTCCACGATACCACTGAGCAGCGCAGTCTGGATGTATGAAGCCCCACGGATGCGGTCACACATAAAACGCACAAGGAACTACTCGTATTCACGGGAGGCATGACATCACGAGTGAATCATCTCATTGGTTGGTAAAATCGTAAGATGTCGCAATGCCACATCGTATCAACAGCTCTTTCCTTCAACCCCCGTGTACCACCGCACCATATCATCCGCCTCGTCGTATGACGAGAAGTATTTGTCCTCATCTGCATCCTCCTGATCTGATTCTCCCTCCTCGAAATCGCCATCCTCATCCACATCCTTCTCCCCCACATCCTCCTACACTCCCTCCCGCATTCCAATCTCGTTGCCGTCCCCTGGCTCGTCCCCGCCCTCCTTCTCCACTCCGTCCTCCGCCTCCCCCTCATTCTCCCCACCCCCTCCTCCTTCCCATCCCCCTCCGCCTCCTCTCCTTCCTCCTCTGCGTCCCCCTCCCTGTCGCCCGCCCTGTCGAGAGGATCCTGCGTACAGGCAACCGACCACCTAAGTTACGCCCCGCCCTTTCCCTCCTATCCATCCCCCTCCCCCTGCTCCTCCCCATCCTCCTCCCCCCTCTTCTTTCCTATCCCTCTCCGCCTCCCGTCCTGCCTGCTCCGCGCCCTCCTCCTCCCCGTCATCAACCCCCTTTTTCTGACGCTGCACACGGCCCGTCCACGTTCATCCACCACCGTTTACGCAACTTCACATAAGACAAACATCTGGATCCTGAAACTCGGTTGCAATCGTGCGCCGGTCAGGGCTCTGGCTCCCCTCCCTCCTTCCTCCCCTTCCCCCCCGCCTCCCCCTGCCTCTCCTCCTCCTCCCTCCTCCTCCTCCTCCACCTGCCCTACTCCTGAACTCCATCCTCCTCCTCCTCCTCCACCTCCTCTTCTCCCTCACTACTACTAATACTACTACTACACTAACTACTACTCACTACTACTACTAACTACTATAACTACTACTACTACTACTAACAACTGCTGCGCTGCTCGCTGCTTGTAGCTACTACTACTACTACTTCTACTACTAACTCCTTCTTCTCGCTGCTGCTCTAGCTCCTGCACCTGCACCTGCTCTCCTGCTCCTCCATCCTCCTCCTCCTCCTCCTCCTCCTCCACCTCCTCCGTCCCTCCTCCACCCCTCCTCCGCCGCCTCCTCCGCCTCCTCTCCGCTTCCTGCTGCCTGCTACTGCTCCAGCAGCTCCTCCTACTCCTCCTCCTCCTCCTCCTCCTCCCCTCTCCCCTCCTCCTGCCTCCACCTCCTCCTACTGCAACCTGCTCCTGCTCCTCCTCTCCTCCTGCTCCACCTCTCCTCCTGCTCCTGCTCCTGCTCCTGCCCTGCTCCTGCTCCTCCCTCCTCCGCCTCCTCCTCCTCCTCCTCCACCTCCTCCCTCCTTTCTCCTCCTCCTGCTGCCTCTTCCCCTACCTCCTGCTCCGCTCCCTGCTCCTGCACCTGCTCCTCCCTGCTCCTCCCTCCTTCTCCTCCTCCGCCTCCCTTCCTTCCTCCGCCTCCTTCCTCCTCCTCCCCTCCTCCTCCACCGCCTCCTCCTCCTCATCATCATCATCATCATCATCCCCCTCCTTCTCCTTCTCCCTTTCCTCCTCCTCATCCTCCTCTTCTTCCTCCTCCTCCTCCGCCTCCTCCTCTCCCGGCCGCCCCGAGCGGGCGCCGCGCCCTGGCAGGGTGTCGCGTTCGCGCTTCTCGCGGGCCGCCAGAAGCAGCAGCCTGCAGGAGAGGCCGCCCCCGCCGCCTCCTCGTCGTCGGGAGGGTCCGCTCCCCGTTCGGAGACTCCGCCGCATGCAGCCTTGGCGTCCTGCTGCTCCAGCTCCTCCTGGTCCTCTTCCTCGTCTTCCTCCTCCTCCTCCTCCTCCTCCAACTTCTCTGTCTCCTCATTTTTTCCTGCATCTATTCCTGCTCCTCCTGCTCCTCCTCCTCCTCCTTCTCCTCCTCCTCTTTCTCCTCATGTTCCTACATATCCTCCTGCTGCTCCTCCTCCTCCTCGTCCTCCTCTACCTCCTCGTCCTCCTCCTCCTGCTCCTCTGGCTCATCCTGCTCCTCATGCTCCCCTGCTCCCTCCTCGATCCTGCATCCTTTTTGAAGGGGCTGCCGAGTCGACCACGCCTTTCGGTTCAGCTGATGCGCAAACAAAAATTGCCGATATTTCTTGTACACAGGAATGAAAAACGACCGCGCCCCCACCACGTCCCACGAGAGCTCAGTTTTTGGGACCCCCCACGCGCGACAATTTCTGACCCGAAACCTAACAACACCTCCGGCCGCGCCCCCGCCACGTCATGGCACCCCCACCCCACGAGAGCTCAGTTCTTGTGACCCCCAATTTCTGGCCCGAAACCGACCGACACCCCCCACCGCGTCCCCACCACATCCTGGCACCACCACCCCACGAGAGCTCAGTTTTCGGTACCCCCACAACGCGACCAATTTTCAGGCCCGACCCACCGCGCCCCCACCACGTCCCCGCCCCCCCCCCCCCCCCCACGAAGCTCAGAGTTTTTGGCTCAGCGCGGGCATGTCTTAGGCCCGAAGCCTCCGACAACACCCCCCACCACGCCCCCACCACGGCCCGGCACCCCCACCCCACGAGAGCTCAGTTCTTGGAACCCTCCACACCACAATTTCTTACCCTGGGACCCTACACACGACCATTTCTGGCCCGAAACCTAGGAACACACCCACCGCGCCCCCACCACGCCCCAGCACCCCCACCCACGAGAGCTGAGTTCTTGGGACCCCACACACGACAGATTCTGGCCCGAAACCTACCAACACACACACACACACACACGTGCCCCCACCACGTCCTGGCAACCCCTCCCCACGAGAGCTCAGTCCTTGGGACCCCCTACGCGACAATTTCTGGCCCGAAACCTACCAACACCCCCCACCGCGCCCCGACGACGTCCGGGCACCCCCTCGTACGAGAGCTCAGTTCTTGGGACACCCCACACGACGATTTCTGACTCGAAACCTACCAACACTCCGCACCGCGCCCCCACCACGTCTCGGCACCCCGCCCTACGAGAGCTCGGGACCCCCCACACGACAATTTCAAGAACCTACCAGGACCCCTACCGCGCCCCCACCACGTCCCTGCACCCCCACCCCACGAGAGCTCAGTTCATGGAACCCCCCAAACGACAAGTTCTGTAGTGTCGGCGCGGCGGGAGGTGTTGGTAGGTTTGGGGCCAGGAATTCTCGTGTGGGGCGTCCCAAGAACTGAGCTCTTGTGGAGCGGGGGTGCCGGGACACCGTGGGGGCGAGGTGGGGGGTCTTGGTAGGTTTCGGGCTAGAAATTGTCGTGTGGGGGGTCCCCAGAACTCAGCTCTCGTGGGGGTGGGGGGGGGGGGGCGGGACGTGGTGAGGGCGCGGTGCGGGGTGCTGCTAGGTTTCGGGTCAGAATCTGTCGTGTGCGCGGTCCTGGGCTCTCGTGGGGTGGGGGTGCCGGGACGTGGATGTGGTGGATGTGGTGGGGGCGTGGTGGGAGGGTGTTGGTAGGTTTCGGTTCGGATGTTGTCGTGTGGGGCGTTCCAAGACCTCAGCTCTCCTGGGGTGGGGGTGCCGGGACGTGGTGGGGGCGCGATGGGGGGTGTCGGTAGGGTCGGGCTAGAAATTGTCGTGTGGGGGGTCGTCCAGAGAACTGAGCTCTCGTGGGGTGGGGGTGCTGGGGCGTGGTGGGGGCACGGCAGGGGGTACCAATTCGTGTCTAAACGTTGTACACAATATGTTCGAGTCGCTTAGCGTTGGTATGTTCATGTGCGGTGGTTTGGGCGCGCGTGCGTACGTGCGTGCGTACTTGCGTGCGTGCGTGCGTGCGTGCGTGCGCGCGTAAGTGTTTGCGTGCGTCTATGTATGTATGTATGTATGTATGTATGTATGTACGTACGTACGTACGTACGTACGTATGTATGTATGTATGTATGTATGTATATGTGTATGTATGTATGTATGTATGTACGTATGTGTGTATATATGTATGTATGTATGTATGTCTGTCTGTCTGTCTGTCTGTCTGTCTGTATGTATGTATATATGTATGTATGTGTGTGTATATATGCGTGTGTATGGATGCGTGTGTATGTATGCACGTATGTGTATATGTACGTGTGTATGTATGTATGCGTGCATGAATGTATGTATGCATGCAGGTAGGTAGGTAGGTAGGTAGGTAGGTAGGTGGGCAGGTAGGTATAATTGTATGGATATATGTCTGTCGGTCTGTCTGTATGTATGCATGTATGTGTGTTTGTATGCATGTTTGTCTATACGCATGCATGTATGCATGCATGTGTATATATATATATGTATGTATGTATGTATGTATGCTTGCATGTATGTCTGTCTGTCTGTATGTATGTATGTATGTATGTGTGTATGTATGTATGTATGTATGTATGTATGTAATTATGTGTGTATGTGTGTATGTGTATGAATGTGTATGTGTGTATGCGTCTACGCATGTATGTATCTATGTGTGTATGTATAGTGTACGTGTCCACACATGTATAAGTATATATATATGTAGATAAATGTATGCATGCATGTGTGTATGTACGATTGCATGTAGATACACGTATGTATGTATGCGTGCATGCATGCATGTATGTATGCATGCATGCATGTGTGTATGCATGTACATGTATGCATGTGCGTTTGTATACATGCATGCATGTAGGTATGCATGTGTGCGTGTTTGTATGCATGTGCGTGTATGTATGCAGGTATGCATGTATGCATGTATGCATGCAGGTATGTAGGTATGTAGGTATGTAGGTACGTATGTATGCATACATGCATGCATGCATGCATGCATGCATGTATGTATCTATGGATGTGTGTCTTAGTGCGTGTTCGTGCGCGCGTGCGCGTAAGCGGCCGTCTGAGTCTTGCTGCGCGACTGCGTTGACACATCGCCGTCCGACGGAAAAGGGGTGGGAAGGAGGAGGGAGGAGCAGGGAGAAGGATGAGGAGGAGGAGGAGACGGAGGAGGAGGACGACGAGGACCCAGGAGGATCGGGAATCGAGGAGCATCGAGGAGGAGGAGGATCGAGGAGGAAACGATGATCGAGGATCGAGGCCGAATATCCAGGAGGATCGCGGATCGAGGGTCGAGTGAAGAAGGATCATCGAGGAAGAGGACGAGGAGCATCGAGGATCGAGGATCGATCATCGAGAAGGAGAACCGAGGAGGATCGAGGAGAAGGAGGAGGAGGGGAGGAGGACCAAAGAGGACAAGGACTCATTATCGATTCGTCGTTCCATGATCGAGCAAATCGCTGTTAGTGTCCTTTGGTGGTTTATCCCTCTCGTTGCTGCTCCTCCCCACCCCACGCCCATGATCGTCGTCATCATCCTCATCCTGGCCACGCTGCTCTCTCGCCCCTCTCCGCCTTTTGCGCCTTTGCAGCTACTCCCAGGCCTTCCGTTCACTCAACCCCCTCCCGCCCTCCTCGACGCCCACCTGCCCTGTAATTCCCTCCACCTGCGCGTCCTCCTCCGCCTCCTGCCCCTCCAGCTCGTGCCCGTCCGCCCTTCCTCAGGTGCACCTCCTCCTCCTCCACATCCTCCCCCTCCTTCCATCCCTGCCTCCCTCCCTCCCACGTCCCTCCCTCCCTCCTCCTCTCCCTCCTTCCTCTCCTATTCCTTCCTCCTCCACCCCTGGGGAAGGGGGGAAGGGAGGAAAGGAGACCGAGAATCATGGATCCATGAGTTTGAGCGTCGGAATATGCATGGTCATGCCTCCAGACGCGGACTGGGGATGCGTACGAAAAGGAAGCAAGAGCCGCCACCGTGCCTCTGGGCACGGAGTGGGCGTGTCCTCAGGTCCTTTGCCCAGGCCCTGGAGCCTCAGCCCGCCGTCATGAGAAATATTCGAGGAGCCCGAACCCCAAATTGCCAAATTCGCTGGGCCTTCCCGCTGTACCCCCACTTTTTCTAGCGCGAATGTTTAGGGCCGACGAAGTGGCCAAGACCTTCCCAAAGGGTCCCAAGAGGCTCTCAAGACGGTCCGAGACGGCGCCGAGTCGTCAGAAGGTCGCCCCAAGACGCCCAAGGTGGCTTCCAGAGAGCCCTGAAGGCCGCCCAAACGGCCCATGAAGTGCCGAAAGCAGTTCCCGAGGGCGCCTGAAGAGGCACAAATCTACAACATCACGAAGTTTTTGGGAAACCTTCGGCCTTTCCGCCCGCATTGTGCTGCTTCCCGACGCGGAAAGACGGCCCAACAGGCCCCCAAGTGCGACCCCGATCGAAGAGAAACCCAAGACGCCCAAGAGCCAAGAGGCCCTCAAGACGAGCCAAAGAACGCCGCAAGACAGCCTCAAAACGGGGCCAAACGAGCTGCCATCTCTTCTTGGGTCGGAGGCGGAGGCGGCAGCCTTTAAGTAAACAGTTTGGGGGAGACGAGCACGAGACCAACACCGGCGACGGCCGATTGAGAAGGTTACCGAGCGGTCAGGATAGTCTGGCGCGTGTATCGCTAGTCGGCTTCGCCTACTGTACCTGGACTTGAGGACGTCCAGCATACAGATGGACAGACGGCGTCTGAGTGAGGGCATTCGCGCGCGTACATGTGTGTCTGTGCGCCCGCGCGCGCGCGCGCGCGCGTGTGTGTGTGTGTGTGTGTGTGTGTGTGTCGGGCCATCAAGAGCGCACGTCCAGCAACATCAGAGCAACTGACCGTGGCCTGTGCCAACGGGCCCACATGGGCCGCT